TGATTCCATCCAGAGCCTGGTGAACTGCCATTGGAAACGCCAGGGCAGCAGGAATCGCTTCCTCCTCCGCGGGAAGGGAGCGGACAGCAGTCCCGGGAGCCGGTGTCAGCCCGGTTCGTGGCAGGGACACGGAGCCCGGGATGCTGGGAGCTGCCGGCTGGCCGGGCACGGCCGTGCTGGGGAGGGCGGCCGACGGCGCGCACGGACAATGGGGGGTCAGCGGGGTTAAACGGTGACTAATTCGCCCTTTCAGCGTCCCCTCCGCCGCTCGGGGACACCCGCCGTGCCGTGACACCCGCCGTGCCGTGACACCGCCCGCACACCCCCCAGGGTCACCCCCATGGCTCCTTCCCCCACCCCCCTGGAGGAGGAGATGGGGTCCGGGTGGTCTCGGGGACCCCCAGACTGCCGTGCAGATGGATCGGGATTGGGTTTGTCACCGATGGATCCTGTGCCCACCGGGTCCCCCCGGCCCGAGGAGGAGGAGGAGGCGCTGGGTCAAACAGGCACCTGCGGTCGGGCCGTGTGCCCTGAAGAGGGGACAATGCTGGGAACTGGTGTGAACAATGGTGCCGACGGGAAGCTCCCGGACCCCTCCCCAGCTGCCCCCGCGGAAGCGGCCCCCCAGCCCGGCCGTGCTCGGGCGGCAGGAATCCCGCCGGGCCGGTCAGTGGAGTCACCGGCCGTGCGGGCGAGCCTCCAGCCAGCACATCCCCCACGAGCAGAGCCTCGGGAGATTTTTGGGGAGGGGGCACACACCACCCTGCCCCCAGCAGCCCCTTCCCACGGGGGGTTGTGCCCTGGGGGGCTCGCGGGGGGGATTAGGGGTGGGGACAGCCAGGGGTGAGCTGTACCTAAGCCGAGCGCTTTATCTGCAGAGGAATCTGCTCCGGGGCTGGACGCTCCCTTTGCCCTTCACCGGGAGGGGTTGGCCCCAACAAACCCCGTACCCCACACCGGGGGTGCTGAGCCTGGAGAGGGGCTGCTCCCTCGGGCACCCCCCAGCCCTGAGTCAGCCGTGGCCTTACGGGAAATCACATCCCCAGCGCCTCCCAAACGTCAATCCTCGGCTCTGGTTTTTACAAATGACTTTCTTATTCTGAATAAGTGCCCTCTCCGACCCCACTGCGGGTCCCGGCGTGCCAGAGGCCGGGGGCTGTGTATGGGCTGGGAGTGGGACGGGAAACGCGCCATAAATGTGTTTATTCTTCGTTAAAGAACTCGTTAGTGTGCGAGGGCTCTTCCCCAGCCCAGCGTGGCCCCTCGCTGTCCGCGGGACAAAGGGATGCATCCCCGGGGGCTGCCAGAGGAAGGAAGGAAAGAAAAGGAGAGAAGTAGCCCCTCAAGCCTGTCAGCGCTGCTCCTGCTACCTGCCCAGACAGGGTGGGCTCTCCCCACCACTGCCTGCCTTGTGTTTTTTCCTTAAATACAGGAATTTGGGGGAGTTTAGCCCCTGGAAGGTGGCGGCTGCCACCAGCCCCCATCCCTGCTGCGGTGGCCCTTGGGTCTGCCCCCAGTCCTCACGTCACGGTGTGCACGTCCCAAACCGGTTTCGGAGAGAAGGAGGAAAACCGAGAGTGTTGCCACTTCCTGGCAATGGAAAAGAAACTTGAAAATTAATCCCCGAGGCCTGAAAACCCGGAACCAAGCTGGCGGGGGGGGGAAGGGGAGGTGTTTTTAACTCGGACGTGGGATGCAGGGACACGGACTCCTCCATGTCGGCTCATGGGGCAGAAAAGGGACTCGTGCTGAAGGGGGGATTTGCCTGGCACCAGCATGACCCCCGGCATTCCCAGAGCCTTGTGAAATACTGCTTCCCCTCCTGCTTGTAACTGCCCCCCTTGCCCCAGCTCGGGGGGGTTTGGGGAGGCTTTGGACCCCCAGCACACACTGAGCCCGTGCCGAGGGCTCTCCCGCATTCCTGGCATTGCCAAGGGGCCGCCTCCCGCCTGCCCTTTGAAAGCCAGCGGGTCGGGATTTTCCTGTAATCTGGTTTGAAACATTAATCCGGTCATCCACACCAAACGCCGGGCCGGCATCCTGCCGGGGCGCTGGGCCGGGGTCAGGGCCACCCGCCCACCGCCTGCCTAATTCCTCCTCCACTTAATTATGGATCTGCTGGCAACGGCCATCTGGCTCCGTGTCCTCAGCCGGCCGGGGGCCGGGGCCGAGGGGGCTGCGCTGCGGCCAGGTGGGCTGGACGCTGTGCCCAGAGCCACTGGCATCAAGCATTCACTCTGGGCTGGGTCAGCACTGGGAGCACTGGGTGCTGGAGTCACATCTCCCAGCCCAGGGGACTCTCAGGGAGGTGGGGGGCATCTCCTGCTCCCCCCAGCCAGGCTGGGGTGGCTGTGCCGCGGTGCCCCCTGCCACCACACCCTGCCGTGGGGACCCCACGGTAAGAGGATATTCCTGGGGCAGCTGTGTTATGGATTAAGTGGTTTCCAGCTCCCTAATTACGAAACATAAATGTATTGACTCAGCGGCACCGGGCGGCCTTGCCTGCGGCTCGTGCACGCCGGTACCTTTGCACCGAGCACCGAGACGCTGCGTGTCCCTGCGAGGAGCTGGCCTTGAGCTGAGCAGAAACCAGGGCTGCGAGCAGGAAGCAGGGCACAGGCACGGGGCAGGGATCGGCACCGAGCAGGCACAAGACTCAGCACCTGCTGATTTCGGTGCGGCGGTGCCGGCAGCCGCCGGCCTGTGCCAAGCTCAGCTGCGCACTGGGTTTCGCACGCTGCCAAAACCAGAACGTTTCTGTTCCCCAATTTGCATTCTGAGCCCCGCTGTCCCAGCTGTCCTGCCCTGCCGTTGGGGCTCTCGGGGCGCCGGCTGCGTTGCCGTTGGCTGCGGATGGCGTCAATGCAAGGAAATCCTGCGAGGGGCAGCTGGGAGTCACTCGTCTCTGTCCCCTTCCGTGTCCTGCCTGTGCTCGGGGTCGAGGGGGAGCCGGGGTGGTAAGGGAGGACAGGGGCAGCTTGGCAAATGCACTCTGTCACACGCCACAGTGCACGCCAGGCACGTCCCGGCCATGGCTGGGCATGTCCTTGCCCCACAGTGCTGCCGGATGAGCACCTTGGGCAGGTGCCCATCACTGGCAGTTGGTTCTGCTGGCAGAGGCAGAGCTAAACCAGGGTTTGGGGGGTCCCAAGGGGAGCCTGTTTCTCTGCTTGGCACTGCAGTGGTCAGTGAGCATCTGCCATTGCAGCGAAGCTGTCGAAGTCTCGCCGGTAACCGTCAGCAGCAGCTTGTGCAACATCCTTTGCCCTCGTGGCTGGTGTGCCGGCAGGGCTGCGAGGTTACCAGGCAAGAACGGGGATCCCTGTGCCCACCATCCCTGGGGACCCCCATGGCTTCATCCCACTCAGGGGTGAGACTGGCTGCAGCCAGCTGAGCTTGGCATGGGACCACCGGGGCTGGTGGGAGGCCGGCACTCGAGGCAGCCGCCCGCCACGGCCACTAATCCCCCTGTCCTGGCCGGCCACGCTCTCCTCAGCTGACGGTTAATTTTCTTTCATCCTCTTAAACGCGTCCATTCCCCTCGGGACTGAGTCCGGGGGGGCTGGATCATGACCCCGAGGGTCTTGGAGGTGGATGAACCAGCGTGTTAGGTGCTGCCCCAGGATGGCTCCCTGCAGGATCGGGCGCCGGGGAAGCCCTTTCTCTGTGTGTGGTTTTTGGAGCTGCTCAGGGAAACGGGGGAGGCTGGATTGGCACCAGCCCAACATCCCTCAGCTGGCACAAGTAGCCCGGTGGAGCTCAGCCCCAAAAATCATGGCACTGCTGCTGTGCCGTGGCTCACTCCCCCCATGGCACTCCCACACCAGACCCCTTGCTAGGGTGGGAGAGGGGCTCTGAGGGTCTCTGCCGGTGGCGCTGGTGGCTCCTGCCCTTGCCCTGGGGGTGTGCAAGAGGCTGGACGAGCCTGCCGAGTTTCCCAGAGGAACTGGGGGGGTTTATGACCCCTCTTATCACGCGGCCCCATTGATCCCTTTGATCGGCGCCGGCGGGCGAGCCCGGCCCTGCAGGATCCGGATCCTCCCTGCAGGGCTGCCGGAGGAGGGGGCTCAACCCGGGACGATGCCCACCCGTCCACCTGCCCACGGTCCTGGTGCCATGGAGGCCGTGGGCACATGGGTGACCCAGTGACCGGCAGGGGTGGCCCCGCAGTGCGTGCCTGGCGTGTTAGGGGGGTATTTACAGGGGTATTTATAGGCCCCACTGGCAGTTGTTCAGAGCTGTCATTGAGAAAAGCGGAGCTGTGGCCGCCACCTCGTTGGGAACGCCTGCCCCCACAGCCCTTGCTCTGACACCCTTCCCGGGATGGAGAGGGGATTATCCACCAGCCTCCAGGCAGAAGCAGCGCTGGGCTTCGGGAGAGGCTGCATGGTGTGGTGTGGTGTGGTGTGGTGTGTGCCTGCGGCGTGCCGGGCGCTCCAACCGGCCCATCCTGCGCCATAAATCAGGCAGGAATGTGCCGGGCTGCCGGGGTGGGGGGTCCCGGCTGAAGGTGCCCCAAGCAGAGCTGGTGATGGAGGTGCAGCGTGTCAGAGCCTGGCCCAGCCCTGCCTTCCCCAGTGCAGGACGCCTCCCTGCAGGGCCATGGCACGCTGGCTCCTGGCCGTGGCTCTCTGTGGCAGCACCCCAAGCGTGGAGGGGCCACGCTGAAGAGCTGCTGTGCTGAGCAGGCAGTGGAGGCTAAAAATAACCAGGGTCAGCGTTCCCGGGAGGAGCCGGGGCCAAGCACGGTGTTGGCAGCCTGGGAAGCCACTCTGGCCATGATCCCAGCACCGAGCTCCGAGCAGGGCTGGCAGGGCATGGCACAGTGGGGCACAAGGTCAGCCCAAGCTGCAGGAATCCACCTGGATCTCTGCAGGGACCCCCGAGCCATTTGGTGTCCTTTGAGGCACATGGCTGCTGCAGTGGGAGCCAGGGGTCTCAGGCTGGGGGACACACGGGTTTGTCAGGGGGTTTCTGAGCATCTCTCTCTCCTTGTGCAGCTGTACGAGCTGGATGGTGACCCCAGGAGGAAGGAGTTCCTGGATGATCTCTTCAGCTTCATGCAGAAGCGAGGTGAGTGCCCAGCTACACACCCACCCTGTGCCCACCCTGCTCCACCACACCCACCCTGCACCCCCCACGTCCCCCCCAAGGCCAGGGGCTCATTTCCTTGCCCCTCATTAGTGCCCTGAGGTCACGGCTCCGGCTGAGCTGCTGGTTAATCTTTAACCCCTCAGCACAGCGGGGTCAAACCTGCTGGGCTGGATCCAGAGCCTGCGGCCCCCCCTCCCTTCACCCATCACACCCAGACCTGCAGCCCCTCCCCACATAACACCCCTGGCTGTGTGCCCCCTCTGCCCATTGCCTGGGTCACTGCAGCCCCTCGCTGTGCCCTCTCCCTGCCCGGGGAGAGGCCATGGCTGGGGGGCTGGGGGTGGGAAGGGCTGAAAGCCAAGCGTGCTCCTGCTCGAGGGTCTGGTTCCTGCGTGGAAAACAGCGCTGGAAGTGCTGACACAGGGCTGGCTCCGGCCCTTTGTCAGGCAGCTCTGGGAAGGCACGTGTGCCTGCACACGGGGGCTGGGGCTGCTGGCTGGGCCCCCCCGGGTTCCCCTGGCTCTGTCCTGTCCCCTGCGGTCCCCCCACCATCCTGGCCCACCTGCATCCACTGGGGTCCCCCAGAGCCCCCTCACCGCAGGGCTGGGAGGGTGGAGACCCCGATGAGGGAGCAGGTGCTGCCAGCCCCCTCCTCAAGCCGGAGGTTTGAGCCCCCCCGGCTCAGAGGAGACCCTCACAGCCGGATTGTGCCGCCCCCGTTATAAATAACTCGCGTTGCCGGGTGCCGGCTCAGCCCGAGGAACCGGCTCAGCCACGGCGGGGCTGTGGCTGGAAACTGCGAGTTTCAGTTTCCTTTGTTCGGGGCTGATCTCAGCGGGAGGGCCCGGGGGCAAGGAAGGGGACAGTGGAAGGGGAGGGAGCAGCATGAGCCCCCCAGCCCCTCCACTGCCCCGCAGGGGTCTCAGCAGCTGCGGCCCCACTTTGGGTAAGAAAGCAGCACCCCAGAGCCGCTCTCTCCTCCCGCCGCTCCCCAGGGACCCCCGTGAACCGGATCCCCATCATGGCCAAGCAGGTGCTGGACCTGTACATGCTGTACACGCTGGTGACCGAGAAGGGGGGTCTGGTGGAGGTCATCAACAAGAAGCTGTGGCGGGAGATCACCAAGGGGCTGAGCCTGCCCACCTCCATCACCAGCGCGGCCTTCACCCTGCGCACCCAGTGAGCGGGGGCTCGGAGGGGAGGGGAGGGCAGGGGAGGGGAGGGGGCGAGCCCTTGGGGGTCCCTCTGCCCTGTGCAGAGGCTCAGCACAGCCCTGTGTGGGAGCAGTGGGGTGGCACAGGGGAAGGGGTGCCCAAGCCACCGTGTCGCCCTCACCGTCCCCGCCCGTGTGGCCGCAGGTACATGAAGTACCTGTACCCCTACGAGTGTGAGAAGCGCGGGCTGAGCAACCCCAACGAGCTGCAGGCGGCCATCGACAGCAACCGGCGCGAGGGCCGGCGCCAGGGCTTCGGCGGCTCCCTCTTTGCCTACTCGCCCGGCGGCACCCACGGCCTGCTCTCCTCGCCCAAGCTGCCGGTGCCGGCGCTGGGGCTGGCGTCTGCCACCAACGGCGGGCCCATCGCGCCCGGACAGAAGATCAAGAAAGGTAAGGATTGTTCGGGGGTCTGCCCGCTCCAGGGTTTGGTTGCAAGCTGAGCCCCCTCCTAAGCCCTGGGGATGTAATAATAATGGGGAGAGCTGGGGGAAGCGGGCAGGGGGGTGATGCTCCTCGCCCCTCCTTGGGCTCCAGGGCTCAGCCTGGCGACCCTGATTCCAATCACCCATCTCTGACCTTTGGAAGGACAGCAGGGCACCAAACTGTTGTGCCAGGGCCGGGGGACACCTTGGGGTGGTGTCACCCCTGTGCCCCCACCCCTGACACCCGCTCCCCCGGCAGAGGAGGACTCTCCCATCCCCATCTCCATGCCCAGCCGGCTCCCGGTGTCACTGGCCGGGCACCCCGTGGTGGCGGCGCAGGCGGCCGCGGTGCAGGTGGCAGCGGCCGCCCAGGCCGCGGCGCTGGAGCAGCTGCGGGAGAAGCTGGAGTCGGGGGAGCCCCCGGAGAAGAAGCTGGCGCTGGTGACGGACGAGCAGCAGCGGCTGATGCAGCGGGCGCTGCAGCAGAACCTCCTGGCCATGACGGCCCAGCTGCCCATGAGCATCCGCATCAACAGCCAGGGCACGCGCTCGCCAGGTCAGTGCCGGCCCCGGCCTCCCGCCCCGGCCGAGCTCCCGGCCCCGGCGGGCTCCGTAACGCGGCTCTCCCCGGCAGAGAACCGCCCGGACGCCGCTGCCGCCAGCAGCAACGGCACCAACAGCATCAGCATGTCCGTGGAGATCAACGGCATCGTCTACACAGGTGAGGGGCTCCCCCGGCACCGCTGCCCTGAGCCACGCTGCTGCTGCTCTCCGCCCCGTCTCACAGCAAAACTCGGATTTTCTCTCTCCCCAGGTGTGCTGTTCGCTCAGACGCCCGGCCCTTCCTCCTCCTCTTCCTCCTCCTCCTCCTCTGCCTACAGCAAAGGCAACGGCGGCAGCAGCCGGAGCAGCGGCGGCAGCGGGGTGGGGAGCGGCGGTGGGAACGTGCCCCCCGCCCCGGCCGGCCTGGCCGTGCCCCCCAGCTCTACCTCCAACAGCGCTTCGCCTTAACGCCCCCCAGCCTCGGGCCCCTCGCGGCACCGGCGCCCCGGGGGGGGACGCGGTCGCACCGGGGCTCACCGGGGTCTGCCGGGGTCTCGCTCGAGGCCTTGGCAGGGTCTCTCTGGGGTCTCGACAGGATTTCACTGGGGTCTCACCCGGGTTTCATTGAGATCTCACCTGGGTCTCACTGGGGTCTCACCTAGGGTTTCATTGAGATCTCACCTGGATCTCTCTGGGATTTCACCAGGGTTTCATTGAGATCTCACCAGGGTTTCATTGAGATCTCACCTGGGTCTCTCTGGGGTCTCACCAAGGGTCTCACCCAAGGCCTTGCCAGGGTCTTTCTGGGGTCTTGCCCGAGGTCTCGCCGGGGTCTCGCCTGAGGTCTTGCCAGGGTCTCTCTGGGGTCTCAACAGGATTTCACTGGGGTCTCACCTAGGGTTTCATTGAGATCTCACCTGGATCTCTCTGGGATTTCACCAGGGTTTCATTGAGATCTCGCCTGGGTCTCTCTGGGGTCTCAACAGGATTTCACCGGGATCTCACCAGGGTTTCATTGAGATCTTGCCTGGGTGTCACCAGGTTTCGTTGAGATCTCGCTTGGATCTCACTGGGGTCTCACCCAGGGTTTCATTGAGATCTCACCTGGGTCTCACTGGGGTCTCACCCAGGGTTTCATTGAGATCTCACCTGGGTTTCATTGAGATCTCACCAGGGTTTCATTGAGATCTCACCTGGGTCTCACTGGGGTCTCACCTAGGGTTTCATTGAGATCTCACCTGGATCTCTCTGGGATTTCACCAGGGTTTCATTGAGATCTCACCAGGGTTTCATTGAGATCTCGCCTGGGTCTCTCTGGGGTCTCACCAAGGGTCTCACCCCAGCTCTTGCCAGGGTTTCTCCAGGGTCTTCTCAGGCTCCCGATGGACTCTGCCCTCGTCCTCGTGTTGTTGGATTTTCCTTTTCCAGGCAGAAAAGCTTTAGCCCGGGGGGTTTTGCCGGAGCCGCCGGCTGTCCGGCTGCGCCGCTCCGGGACCGTTTACCTCACTCACATCACACTTTGCACTGTACATTTATTATTATTATTATTATAATTATTGTTATTTTTTAACTCGTGTTACCTCCAGACAGACGCACGGACGCCTGCCGACGCGAGCTCTAGCGAAACCCCCTGGAATTCTAAAGGAAAAGAAAAAAAAACAACCAAAAATCCTAAAAAAAAAAATTGGAAATAGGGAGATATTTTATTCATTTCCATCCTTTTCCCTCCTTTGTTTTGGGAACTCCACTCTCTGCAGGATTTTAAGAGGTTGTTTTCGATTGTTTTGTTGTAAATAGCTTCTATTTTATTCTCTAAAAAAAGGAAAAAAAAAAGAATCAAACTTTTAACATGCAAATGATATATATTAGTCTTCATCAGGGAAAATGGGAGCTTGGAAAAAATTGGAATCTCCTTTCTCCTCTCCTTATCGGTGGTTGGGTCCAGCTCTGCTCCTTCCCCCACCGGCAAATCCTAATTTTTATTCCTCCCCTTGCATAAAACTACTGTTGAAAGCCACTTTGGGCTTCTTTCCTCCAAATCCAAGCAGGATCCAGAGGATGGGGATGCTCGGAGCTGCAGGACGCTCCGGAGCTCACGGACAACCCGAAGGACCTGAGCATTTATTTTAACCCTCACAATCTCAGTTGGGTTTTTTTTTTTATGTTACTATTTCCCCCCCCTCAACCCCCCCCCCCAAAAAAAAAAAAAGAAAAAAAAAGAAAAATATTCAGCCACATCTGCGTGAGACACAATCCAATCCGATACCGAAACGCCCTCGCCCCCCTCGGTATCTCCGTTCTCAGGTTCCCACCTGGAGCACAGGGTTTTCCCCCCTTCCCCAGGTGCCCCCAGGGGGGTGGGACCTCCCCCCCTCCTTTATTTTTAATTTCACTCGGGGAAGTGGCGATCTCAGGGGATTTGGGTGGTTTTTTTCCAGCTGTTTTTTTGTCCCAGCTGTTTTTTTTTTGTTGTTTTCAGCCGGGTTTTGGGGTTTTTTTTGGAATCCCCTTGGTGGCTCCGTTTGGGGGGGGGTCTTGGTGGCTCCGTGGACCCTTTTTGGGGGGGCCTGGGAGGGTCCATCCAGCTCCTGCTGCTGTTGGGGTCCAGCCCAGCTCCCCGCAAGGAGAAATTCCAAGGGGGAATTTTCATGCCCAGGGCAGGCTTAGATTTTCTTAGTGATTTTTTTTTTTTTTGCATTGTACAGTCACTATTTTGGGTTGTTTTGGGGTTTTTTTAATTATTTTCCCTCCCCTCCTTTCCCTGCCCCTCCCTTTATTTTTGTTTTTGAGAGCGGGTGACTTTCCACTTTATTTTTCTTTTTTGCATATTGATTTAAAAATAATAAAAAAGAGCCTAAATCAGTTTTTTTTTTTTTGGGGGGGGGTTGGAAAGAAAATTAAACAAAAGGAGCTGCCCCAGCTGCAGCCGCCCCCCTCCCCCCAGCGTTGCATATCTTAACTCAGGTAAAAAAGGAAAATGAGAAAAGAAAAAAAAACCACAAAAGACAAAAAAAAAAAAGAAAAAAAAGGAATAAAAAAATAAACCACATTCTACCTCTGAGCGCGGCGGCCTCGGGCGCACCCGGGGCCCCGGTGAAAGATTTCAGTTTTGCAAAACATTCAGGTATTGAGACTTTTTGATTATTATTAAAAAAAATAAATTAAAAAATTTAAAAAAAAAGAGAAAATAAACTTAAAAAACACTGAAAGTTTACATTTTATAATAACATTATTATACAGATTGTATTTAAACGTCAGAATATTTAAGACAATTGTAACCCTGTAAAGTGAAGAAATATAAAAAAAAAAAAAAAAGTTGTGTTGTTTGGGGTTTCTTACCCTGGGGGAGCCCACAGGGCTGTGGGGTATCCATAGGATTTCTTTATGGACTTGGGGTGTCCATGGGGTCCCTGTGAGGGTCCATAGGTTGTGGGGTACCCACAGGGTGCCCATAGGGCTGGGAGGTATCCATGGGGTCCCTTTGGGGCTGTGGAGGTTTGGGGTCTCACAGGGTCCCCATAACCCTGTGGGGTGTCCATGGGGTGTCATTGGGGTCCCTGTGGGGCTGTGGAGGTTTGGGGTCTCATAGGGTCCCCATAACTCCGTGGATAACCCTGCGGAGTGTCAATGGGGTGCCCTATGGGGCTGTGGATGTTTGGGGTCTCCACAGGGTGCCCCCATAACCCCGTGGGGTGTCCATGGGGTGTCATTGGGGTCCCTGTGGGGCTGTGGAGGTTTGGGGTCTCACAGGGTCCCCATAACCCTGTGGGGTGTCCATGGGGGGGTCCCTATGGGGCTGTGGAGGTTTTGGGGTCTCCACAGGGTGCCCCCATAACCCCGTGGGGTGTCCATGGGGTGTCATTGGGGTCCCTGTGGGGCTGTGGAGGTTTGGGGTCTCACAGGGTCCCCATAACCCTGTGGGGTGTCCATGGGGGGGTCCCTATGGGGCTGTGGAGGTTTTGGGGTCTCCACAGGGTGCCCCCATAACCCCGTGGGGTGTCCATGGGGTGTCATTGGGGTCCCTGTGGGGCTGTGGAGGTTTGGGGTCTCACAGGGTCCCCATAACCCTGTGGGGTGTCCATGGGGGGGTCCCTATGGGGCTGTGGAGGTTTTGGGGTCTCCACAGGGTGCCCCCATAACCCCGTGGGGTGTCCATGGGGTGTCATTGGGGTCCCTGTGGGGCTGTGGAGGTTTGGGGTCTCACAGGGTCCCCATAACCCTGTGGGGTGTCCATGGGGGGGTCCCTATGGGGCTGTGGAGGTTTTGGGGTCTCCACAGGGTGCCCCCATAACCCCGTGGGGTGTCCATGGGGTGTCATTGGGGTCCCTGTGGGGCTGTGGAGGTTTGGGGTCTCACAGGGTCCCCATAACCCTGTGGGGTGTCCATGGGGGGGTGCCTATGGGGCTGTGGAGGTTTTGGGGTCTCCACAGGGTGCCCCCATAACCCCGTGGGGTGTCCATGGGGTGTCATTGGGGTCCCTGTGGGGCTGTGGAGGTTTGGGGCTGTAAGTAGAAGAAAAATTAAAAAAAAAAAAAAAAGTTGTGTTGTTTGGGGTTTCTTACCCTGGGGGAGCCCACAGGGCTGTGGGGTATCCATAGGATTTCTTTATGGACTTGGGGTGTCCATGGGGTCCCTGTGAGGGTCCATAGGTTGTGGGGTACCCACAGGGTGCCCATAGGGCTGGGAGGTATCCATGGGGTCCCTTTGGGGCTGTGGAGGTTTGGGGTCTCACAGGGTCCCCATAACCCTGTGGGGTGTCCATGGGGGGGTCCCTATGGGGCTGTGGAGGTTTTGGGGTCTCCACAGGGTCCCCATAACCCCGTGGGGATGTCCATGAGGTGTCACTGGGGTCCCTGTGGGGGTCCCCATAACCCCGTGGGGGGTCCCTGGGGTCCCCATGTGCACACGCGGCGTCCCCGGTCACCCATCCAGCCCCGACCGGGACGGGCCCTGCTGAGCTTCCTGCCGCGTGCGCAGCTCCCGCCCCGCGCGGCCGCGGCGGCGCCGCCGCTGATTGGTCGGCGCCCGGCGGGGGAGGCGGCGCTCTGGGCCGCGGCCGCGCTCTCTGTGGCCCTGGCGGACCGCGAAGATGGCGGCGCCCATGGAGGTGGCGCTGGTGTCGGACGCGGCGGGGCCGCTCTGCAACTGCTCGGTCTGGGAGCTGCACTCGGGCTCGGCCCTGCCCGGCTACCGCGGCGGCAACAGCGGCCCACGCGGGCTGGCGCTGCTGGGCGGCGAGCACCTGCTGGGGGCCCAGCTCGGCAAGAGCTACATCAACGTCTGGGAGCTCCAGAGGAAGGTACCGGCGCGGCGGGAGGGCGGGCCCGGGCGGCCTCGGCTCGGGGGACGGCCCCGGGCCTCGCGGGGGGACTCCGGGCCCCGTGGGGGATGTGACGGGGCCACCCCTCCTGAGCACCCCCCGGCCCTGTGGTGAGGAGCCACTCCGATCACAGAGCCCCCCCAAATCCAGGTCAGCCCCCCTCATGGCCCCTCTCTCCACAGAGACCCCCTAAATCCAGGTCAGACCCCCCCATGGCCCCTCTCCCCACAGAGACCCCCCTTCCATGGCCCCTCTTTTCGTGGAGACTCCCCTCTGTGCTCAGACACCCCTTCATAGCCCAGTTCTCTGCAGAGACCCCCATGACCCCTCTCTCCACAGAGACCCCCCATCCCTGGTTGGACCCTCAGGCTCCCCCCACCTCCATTCCCATCACCACGGGCTGGTGCCCCCCATCCCTCTCTTGACAGAGACCCCCAGAGCCCCCATGTTGGGGGGCCCTGCTTGCAGCCCCTGCCCCCTGTGAGCCCTCGCTGTGCTCTCTCTGTCCCAGGACCAGCTGCAGCAGAAGATCATCTGTCCCGGGCCTGTGACCTGCCTGACAGCCTCTCCCAACGGGCTCTACATCCTGGCAGGC